GTAGTATTAATATGTTAATATTCAAAAATAAAAAATCATGTGTTTTGGCCGGGGCCTGGCTGAAATTTGCCAAGAAAATTTACTAAGAAAATTTCTGTAACATAATGTCTCGGAAAAATGCCAAGAAATTTTTATTAATACACGCTAACCCACACGAATAAACATAAATATAAAATAATAATCGGTCACCAGGGCGCTTTATTGATATAGGGAAAAAAATAAATTACATTATGTTTGGGATACATTCTAAAAATAAACTATTCGGAGTCTACGGTTGAGCTATCTTCCATACGTCTCTCTAATCTAGATATAGACGCATGATACAACTGAGATATATTAACAATTATTATATTTCGCATAATTAGTAATGCTTCAACAAATTTGCTTACTATATCACTATCTTCTAATTGTACTGGGATCTTTACAGACCGTAAACGACAATATCGATGGAAATTCCCTTCATCCCTAATAAGAACATTTAGGTGCAAGATATCCCCAGCTACTTGAAGACTAATAATTCCAAATTCATCTATATTGGGTTTGCGCCCTTTGCGTACCCAATACATACCATCGTTGGCCTCTCGCCATAATTTTATTCTATCGTCATTTTTTTTCTTCTTCGAACAAATCAAACGTGAGCATTCAGTGTACATAAGTTCAAAAACTCTATCACCAAATTTAATTACGAACATTATATCAGAGCGCCTTTCCAAATGTCCTTTTTCCTTTCTATCAGCACTTGCGGTACTTTGACGTTCTGAACTAAAAAATATAGTTAATAACTGATTTTCTACTCTATATACAATATATTACTATTTCAAACTTACGTGCTAATGAACGAAGACTTCCCAAATGAAAGATTCTTCAACGTGGCCTAAATTGCTGGTACTATAACATTTATTACATAGGTACCCTCGTTAAGCGAACCCACAAACTCAGAACCAAAAGCTGAATTTTCTCATGAATCGCTCAAAGTATTTAAAATTCCTATAGTAACTTCTGAAAGAACCTCTTTCGAATCTTTCCAATTCCCGTCATGAGATAACAAATCGGGTATGACCTCCATTTGAAATTCTGAATGCTTCGATACAAAATTTCTACAAACATCACGAACTTCTGATGGTATAGAACTAGGCGCCATCCGTCTAGCTGGTTTCTAAAATTATCAGATGAATTAGGATATATCTATTAAATAAGGATCTGCCGTTAAGGCGCTTCGCAGATAAAATCTTACCATAAAATCGTTATATAAGTTTTTTGGCAGTTTTCGTATTTTATCCCACTCATCACTAATAATTTGGCTGGCAAGAGGAGATTTCCACGACAAGCTGGGAACAGGAACATTATCCAAATCTTTAAGTAAACGTTTGTAAAGAGGTGTTGGCTTTTTCTGAACAACGCTCTAAGATGTATAAAATTAGATTTTTCTCAAAACCCATATCCATTATCTAACATAACTTACTGTAAGTTTCGACTTTAACTCGGTAAAATTGGCTATAATTCGCTCTGAGCTGAGAGGTTTCTCTTTACTCTTTATAAGTACAAGAGGGTGAATTAGTATATCATAAAATTAGGTTAATATCTCGTGTAAAAAAAAAATGACATACCAATTTTACCGCATCTATATTGCGTAAACTACACACTCCTTCGAAAGCATCATTAAACTGGCGCAGGGAAAACTTGAATTAGATCATGATCTATAATAAAAATGCATTTTTTGACCGATCCACTCCTCATCAGATGATTGCAAAGTTACCATCGTGCGGTCTACCACAAAAAATGGCATTTGCAAAATATCGAAATATCAACAAAGAAGTTTACACAAGAATATAGTTTAGACGTTTCCCACGCTTTTTAAGGATTATATCCTCTACTCACGGGCTATGGAACAAAACTATTATGCCAACTACCTGACTTTCAATTCGCGCCATTCATTACTTATTTAATTGTATCATAGGTTTGCTAAAGCGAAAAATCTAACCTGTACAAGAATTCTAAGAAGTTTATTCTGCGCAGATGTATCATTAGAGTAGATATTTAATGAGGCATTAATAGCATTATTTACTATACTTCTCGATTCTTCTTTGGTGATCCAAGGCTCTTCTTCTATAACCTGAAAAATAACAGAAGAAGCGGTTATATGTTCTAAAGGGGAGTTAGCGAGAAAGTCATAGACCTTTTAGTATAATTCAGTAGACATATTTTATAAAAGACTTGGTATTAGAAAAATAATGTAAATCGGAGAGCGAAAAATATCCCTAGCAAAGCTCGGTATAACAAAAAAAATACCTATACAGCCCTTTTAAATGTCACCATTTCCTACATTCATGTCCTCTCTAACTCGCATTAATGTTGGGGGGAGATAGGAAAAATATGCAAGACACTTTACGCCAAAATTTTATGTTTAAGAGTAAGACATGCGGAATATGCATTGTAGATCTCAACATTGCAAAGACGTTAGGGAATATGCATATACGAACTTTTTTTATTTCACTTGCTTGACCGCTCAGTAATAAAGGCCTAGTAACATTATATAAATATGCTCTGGTGGGAGGGCAGTAGAAATAACCTGTAGCTCCGGAGCATATACCCAATAAATGATATTCCGCTAAACATTGCTAGAGAAAAAATTCGAAATATTTTTGGAGATTGATTTCTTATGTGTGAAAATTGATTTGTCACACAAGCAGTCATACAGAGCTACAGATGATTTGCGGTATATCACTTATACACTTTAACGAGGATCGCAAAACATGTTTATTGTATCACGCATGCATACAGCTGTAGATACAGTATTATTCGGGATCTGGGTTAAGGACTGATCTGGAAAATTCGGCGTACAAACTCACAATTATCATCTAAATCTGAGAAATTTACAGTAATATCTTCCCCGTTATTATGATATATGTATTTTAACGGCGAATCGCATATAGGTTTTAGTAATCCTGATGATTTACTCTCATATGCCTTGTATTCTGAAATTCTGATGAAGAATATAATATTGTTTTTTCTATCAATACTATAATATTCGGAATCTCGTGACCATTTTAACATGTCAAGCCAATATTCACCTCTAACAAGTATATAGCCTTGCTGATATAATAATTTCTTAACAAGTATGTATGTCACAGAATCTAATCGTACCCATAATTGGACTATCTTCTCAAACATCCATTCATTTCTTACTGGATAACAAGATCCCTCATACCCACAACAAATATATCCTAGTTGTACCGATGATTCATTTTTTATACCTAAAAACTTTTTCTCATTAGGAGTACCATTATTCTTCACTACCTTTCAAATTCGTTTTGCCAAAGATTCAGGTCTCTTCTTATAATTCCTATAAGCTTGCTGGATAACTGTTGCATAGAAATTCTCAAACTGATAGTTATATTGTCTCGTAATCAAGAATCCCTAAGATCGTTTCATGATAAAATAGTTATATATTAGAAGATCTAACCTAGAATAGGCAGATCATGCATAGCATATTTTTATCCTGCATAAATTATGCAGGTGATACATTTCACAATTATACTAGGCGAGCATGTATGCAGAATTCATTTTGCAAAAAAATAAAGTATGTTATGTTTGGTCTCAATATAGTTGAGAGATATATAATGCTAATGATCGGTTGAAAGATATTGTGAAGTGCCTTAAGCCAGTTAGACAACCGTGAGTACTCTCCCATCCCTTAATCTCAACATAGTACCTTTTGGCTGTTTTATATACTGAGATGAGATAAATAATTCGCCTGTATCACTTTTATAATTTGATGATTGATGAGAAATTAGCAAAACCATTTCTTGCCTGGCAGGCGAAATACAAGTTGGCTCAAAATTTGGAGCACTTGGCATAGTATCTTTTGCCATGGTCGCTTTAACCTGCCTATATGTTTCATAGCTAGTTGAACGACTATCATAATCATACATTACTGATGCCAATTTATCCTTTTCTGAATGTGGAGTAGATTAGGATGAAAGTTCTAGCTGAAAACGCTTCATTTCAGCCTCTTCTTGTAATATATACTGTTTATACTTCCAGATTTGAAATTTTCTCCTATCAATAGCTTGGAGAATTTCTTTTCTTTTTGCATATTCGATTGAACTAGTAACTCTAGTAATACATCTCTTCAAGTGGCCATCTCGATAGAGAAAATCACCTATAAGCCTTTCAGGGATGAATACTAGGAAGTCACACACACTACAATATATAAAATTTGTTAGAATTCCGCTAGGATGAAACCCTTTACCATCTTCATAAAACTTTGCATACATGCGAATATATCCATTCTTAGAAAATATTTCTGAGTTCTCTTCAAGTATTTTTCTAAATGGACTACGAATACGAGAGCACTATATTTCTGGTGTTTCATTATCATATTTATGTTGTAAAAGGTATATTGCTTTTATTATCTTATTATATCTATCATCATGATCAGGATTAGGCGAACAAAGCTTATAGTAAGCATTACCATCTAAATCCATCTTTATAAATGTAAATAGTGTTTTTAGTGATTTATTTCAATTTTATTGTTTTATAGCTGATTTACCACTAGTATACTCTAATAAATATCAGATTCATTTTTTATTTGATTATAGGGATTTATATAGGGTCATATCCCTTCGGATTTTATATTTACATGCATATGCACAGCGCTTTTGGCTAAATCAGTTTGTGGCATGATGTACTGTATATCGTATCACATGTGATCTCCACTAGTTCTTCGATAATTCTAGGAGAGTTCTAGGAGCTGACGAGTTTCTATAAATCACGAGATGATCGGCCAATCAGATTCTGCGCAGTATCTAAGCCACCATTAAATGAGTTTCGATAAATCACGAGATGGTCGGCCAATCAGATTTCGTCTCCCTGATCTAGCTAAGCCACCGATTAATCATTATATTGATCAAAGTTGCAATCACTCGATAAAACATTCACTCTTCTCATGTAAAAAATCCTATATTATTCCTCTGTTTGGTGCTTGATTAACACTAAGGATGACTGAAACTGTAAATCAGTTACTAAGTCGCGTTGTTCCTGTTTGCACATGGTAGACTCCAGGCTCAACTGTTTCAACTCATCCAGCTAATCCCCTCTTTCCACAAGTCGTGAGAGAATGGCGTTTCTTTTCCTGAAGTGTTAATTCGTACCATAATATTCTGGGAAGACAATTTTGGGTGTTTCCAACTATTGCAGACGAACTAAGTGTAGAAGACAATGCAAAATACCAGTTTTATTCTAATGTTATATGCCCAGTTCAAGAACTACTAGGAGGAGCAAGATTTCGTCCGAGATGTACTGGAATGTTGGATGTTCCCGATTTCATTTTATGCACTAATAACCTTACAACGGCCAAGATGCTTGTGGAGGTTAAAACTCATCACAATTTGAGGTTAGGTGATCATAACCTCTGGGAAGTTTATCGATATGCCGACCGGAATCAAATAGAGGATGAAAATTTTCAATTTAAAAAAAGAATTTTATCTCAAGTGTTTGGCCAAATGGCTTGCAATGGCCTTCACTTCGGCATTTTGACAAACTATTCTGATACATACTTTCTCAAATGACTGGAAAATGAACCAACCAGCCTATATGTTTCTCGTGTTGTTCCTGATAGTACTAATCTGACTTTACGCGAGTGCGTTTACTACATCTGCTAGCAAGCTATTAATGACAATGTTGGAAATAGATTGGATCCTGTATCGGATGACGATGTTACTTCCCGTGAAGATAGCGATGGAGATGACGATGATGGGGATGATCCTGATGATGATTCTGGCGATGATTATGTTCCTCCTAGTAATGATGATTCTTATAATTTAAAGAAGAGGAAGAGTTCTTTGGATCTCGGTAGTAGGAAGAGAGTGATCGCATCATCTTCCAAAAGAGTCACTAGAATAGGTGAATACATAGGTGGCGGAACCTTTGGGAAAGTTTTTTCAGGTTATTATGATGGTTAACTCGTGGTATAGAAGACTTGTGATGCGTATAAAGAGCAAGAAGCGACAAAAATGCTAAAACATGAGGCTCATGTTTATTCCATTTTGAAAGAATGTCAAGGTACGATTTTTTTTTCATTCATAATGTTTTTAGATATTATTAACTTGTCAATTGCAATAATATTAGGTCGTGCTATTCCACATTTGTTCCATCAAGGTTATATTTATGACAGATATCTTTTTGCGTTAGTATTATAATTAATTGAGGACGCCCATCACGTTGATCTGGAAAGACTCATTAAAGAGGATAAAAAATCAATAGTAAACCAGCTCAAGTCGATACATTATTGTGGCGTCCTACACAATGATATCTCCAAGCAAAATATTTTATATGAACCAAAGAGTCGCCGTTATTTTTTCATTGATTTTGGCTTGAGTGAGATCGTGGACAACGAGTCGGCAAAATTACGCAAGAAAGAAAGAAGATTGAAAAGATTTTTACAACTTTAAATATCTGGATATGGGAGCTAAGCTATTAAAATCACCTTACGGGATAAGAAATTGATTTTGAGTAAATAATGATTAAAAAAATGCT